CTTTGCAGTTAACCTTCTAATCTTCTTTGCTCCGGCCTCGTCTGAAGGAAGCTCTTCCATTGTCAAGTAACACACTATATGAGCTATCCAACTTTAGAAGTTGGTGATGCTTGTGGCATTTAATTCCTACTTCTATGTGTTGAGAGTAGAAAAGGTTTCATGTATCATTGTTTTGTTATGATCCAACTTCTTGGTGTTGACAAGCTTTGACAAGAGATCCTTACGGGCGTTCTACTCTCTAGGTACATAAACTATTATTGAAAAAGTGACTCTAAACACAAAAAGGAGAGGGTGAAATGTGTTTCTTTTAAAATAATGTCCAATTAAAAAATATTTGATATAAACAAATGTTTAATACAATTTTGTAAAGAGTAACCAGTGAAATAAATAAAAAGAATAAAACCAAAGTAAAAAATAGATTTGAGCACAATAGAAACAAAAAGAGATAAGGGATAAGAATATTACACTAGAGATATATAGAGGTTTGGCAAAAACACTTGACATACTCCTCTTTCTAAGAATTTCTTCCTGAGAGTTTCCACTATATGTTTGAGCTTTCACAAGTTATGCCCATGGAACTTCTTACAATCAAACTTAGAGTTTTACACTAAATATCCTCCAAATTGAATACAAGATTTTATACCAGGCTAATGTTGAACTAAATGAGAGCTATTACACCTGGTGAAACTCATGAATCAAATAGAGATTTTAACGGACAATCTCACAAACCAAACGACATATTTTATTGGCTAAGCTCACAAACCAAGCACTCACTCCTCACAAAAGCTATTCCACAAGAGATAAAAAAAATTACACAAATTACAATATTACCCCTGCACCAAAATACACAACAAAATCCTCTCTGATATTTTCTAGTCATAAAGCAATAAGCCAATTTTAGTGAAATGAGAAGAAAAGTGAGAAAGAGTGTTAAAAACACATTTTATGGTGTGGTTTGAAGGTGAGGAAACCCCTCTATTTATAGGAGAGATATCTCGCTCAAAAAGGAAAAATATTCATGGGTGTTTTAATGCTCATGATCGATTATACATATCACCTAATCAATTATGTGCCTCATCAAAATGACAACCGTGATTCCTAAAAAGGAAACTTACATTGGCTAGTGTTATAATCGATTAAGAATCTTTAACCTTGCTTTAATCAATTGGTTAGGGAACTTAATTGATTAGGCAACGTATATAAGCCTCATAAATGTTTGGGAACACCTTTATCAATCCCATAAGTACTTTGATGATTCCTCTAAGGGTTTTAAGGAATTTTATCAAATAGAGAGGTTGAAAACACCTTTAGGTGAGCGTGTGAATTGACTTAGTAGTTTAGGAACTACTCTAATATCTTTTACTAGACTCTGACCACTCAGACACATATCAAGTGATATTTTACACGTCCTCTTATTTACAAGCTCTAAACTTTAGAAATCCCTTGATAGATACATCAATGATTTAAAACTACATCTGGGACTTGACTTCTTCTCTCTAATGAGGCTTGTTAAGGATTTTTTATAGACACCATTAATAGAGAGATTTACTTGACTTAAGATCATTGAGGATTCCATCGAACATCACTTGGAATTAGGTGTTGTCCTTAAGAGATTGGATTTGATATCTTTGATCTCCCAACAAGAAGAACATTATCATCACTTTAGATGAAGACTTCACTTTATAGTGTTGTCATTATCAAAACTATATAGGTCAATTGTATGCTACCGATATTATGCTTGCATGCACATAGGTCCACAACTATTTCAAATATTTTGGAACTTTTAGCTAAATCATGCACTCTCTTTATGAATTTGATGAGATAGAAATCATCCGTCTCATACTTGTCAGCTACCAAAATAGTGATTAATTTGGAGTATCTTATATGGATCTATGTGTTTTCAAGTATGACGTCTACAACGACCCACTTGGTCTTATTATTGAAAATAATCTTACAAGAAGTCTTCATTAGTCTTGTTATTCAAGGCTTGTTAGTTCATCTGATGTGATCGAGTGGTGGTGTTTGAAGATCAAAGTGTCATATTATAAGATGTTAAAGTTATGGTGATAAAGATATCAGAGCCTATATGTGGAAGATAACACCCTATGTTAAGCGTCATTTGCTCAAGTCAATGAAGATCTCTAATCAAGCAGTGTGTTTGATGATGGCGTGCATCTTGAAGAGTTGTCTTAAGCCTTATCAGAAGAATATTCAAGGTTCCAGTGAAGTGGTAAAGTAAAAGATAAGGGGGCAAGGAACCATAAGCTTTAGAATTGTGAAAGAGAGGAAGTGTTAAAGCTCGCCGAGTCGGTGTCGACTAATCAATGTTTGTAAAGGTATAAGACTAACTCTTAACTTTACTAAGGAAAATCACACACTCACTTTCAACATTTTTAAAAACCTTTCTCCTTTTATGAAAATCACCAGAAAATGTTTTTTTGCATACCTAATTAGTGAAAATTCAGAAAGTTCTTTATGAAGGACTTTTACACATTATAATATATTAAAGCCTTAGATATAATCAATTATTACTTTTTTGTAACGCCCATTAATCAACAATTATAGTTAATAGTTGATTACTAACGGTTATTTTGAAAACATTCCATTTTTGGACTTGACAATACATTATGTGAATGTCTTAAGCGATTTTCAGCCTTTAAAAGCCCATGGATTGTTTTCATATTTGAGCCAAATTTTGTCTTATAAATAGATAGCTCTTTTTTCCTGTCTAACATACTAAAAAATGTATTTGAGATACCTTTCTCTTACTATCCTCTCCCTCTCTTTATTTTTTCACATTAATCCTTAGTGCTTTTGAGAGTGAAATCTTTATACCTGTGAGGTAGTTCTTGGTCTGATGTAGGGACGTTGTGCTTGCCACATGTTTGCCTAAATGGATGTATATTAAATATGGGTCTGGATCACGCGATCCAGGTCACAACTGGTCGACCTAGGGTGACAACCGCCCAATTCATACTTCACTTTTCGGGTTGTCTTTCTTCAACCCCTACAGACATCTCCTTTTCATACCCAATAAAGTTATATATATAACTTACTCCAAAAGTATTTTTTTTATAATTTATTCCAAATCATAAATTTTAAATTAAATTTAATCGAATGTCTACAGATTCATTGGTTTTATGACTATGTTTCATGTTATAGAGTCACTAAGTGAAGAAGGCAAAATCGTGGGACCACGAGTCAGGGGAGCAACTGCACATAGGGGTGGTAAAACGGGTCGCCCGCTCTGTCCCGTCTCACTTTGCCCACCAAAAAGAGGGGCAGGACGGGTAAGTCCACCAAGTAAAATTGGGCTTAAAAATCTATCACGCCTCACCAAGGTGGCAGGTTGGAAGACAACAAATTTTTTTCTTCATTTTTTAATAGATTAATATGCTTATTTTTAGATTTCAATTATATTTTCACTTATTTTTAGAATAATTTTTTATAAAATATATTTTTAATAAATTTTACTTAAAAAAATATTCTATATATTCACAAATAAATGTATAAAATAAAATCATCAACAAGTATTTTATAACTATAGTTTAAATATTAACCTTTTCTCAACCAAAATAAATACTTTTAGTGTTTGATAATTAGATTGACGGATTGACGAGACAACCCGTCTTTTTTTTTTTGTATGGACTTAAGACTAGACAAATTTAAAGCCGAGGAGATTGAGCGAATTAGCGGACACAAAATTCCAACCTATTATTTTTAACGCGTGCGTGAGTCGTTACGACAGATCATAGTCCGTTTTAGCACCCTTAACTACACATTATTGGATGAAATCAACCCAACATGCCGAGTAGCAGAAGACTAAAAATCACAAAATAAAGAGAACAATCACACATAGCAGCATTACATGAATATCCAAATCAGTAGCATTTTATGTAGGTCACACTATTATGGTCAAATAGTTTTTGTTTATGAATATTGCTCTTTGTAAAATTTCAAGAACACCAATCAATCAAGCAATATATACATAAACTTTCACATTTCAATAACAAACTTTTAAAAAAAAATATTGGTCTTCACCATTATATTAATTGATACAATTCTATAATTTTTACCGTTTCGATAAATTCTTTCTACATCTTGGTTTCTCGAAAAAGCTCAAAATTCATTAAAAAAAAATCAATTTCACAATGGTAGCATATGACCAATTTTTTTTCCAAATTTCTTTTAAAATATTTTTATATAGCATAACATGTTTTTGTTTAATTTTTTTAATAAATAATCTTATTAAAATAATTTTAAATGAAAATTAATTTAAATAATTTTTCATAAATTATTATTTTAAGTATTTCATCCTTTTACTACAATTTTTTAATTACAAAATCAATTAAATTTGAAACTAATTTTAAACCACTTTTCATAAAAACTATTTTTGAAAAATTATAAGTTTGTGACCATATTTTAATCTTACAAAATATATATTAATGTTGTAAATATCAAATTAATCTTTTAATTTATAGAAAATAAATTATTTTACATAATAATAATTTTTAAAATATAGAAAAAAATACTTTTTTTTAAAGTAAAACAAAGGGACGTAATTTAACTTTCAAATTTTCAACTAAATTGCCATATAAAATTTGAAGGACTTAAATTTTATTTATTTATAACTCAAATTTTGAAAGCTAGCATATATTTCAAGACCATTTTCTAAAAATAAAATACTCTTATAAATTGTGATTCACAAAAAAAAATACATTTGAACAATTTATAATTTGAATAAAAAATAATCTAAAATTCGTAAAACCCTAGCAAACAAAAACCCTAGATTCAGCACTTGCAGCTTCACCATTGTTGTATCAGAATCAAGAGTTCACCCTCAGACTCATCTCCGCAGACGCAGTTCTTCATCACCGCCGGAAACAGGTTTTCCTTTTTCTCTCGTGTATAGCCGATGCGATTCCGGCGCGATTTTCATCATGGTTGTTGTTTTTGTTTCTTAAAATTGTTAATATTTTGTTGCAGATTGATTGTAAGAGATGGAACACGGTTCTTACTCTGATCTGAGTAAATCAACGTTTTCTCTTGTGGACGAGGATCACACTTTTGCTAATTCCGTCAGATTCACATTGAATCAAGAGTTAGTTATTTAATTTCCAAATTCTTAACTTCATTTCACTTAATAGCGTCTATAGTGTAGAATTTGAACAAATTGCTATTATTCTGTGATAGGGTGGTTAGTACAAATTTCTTTACATAAAAGCTACAGTAGTGTGGTATCCGAAATTTAACAAACCACTATTGACAACACTGTTACTATCCCATAAGGAGTGTAGCAGGGAGTCAACCCGAGAATAAAGTAACTGTAGTAGAGATGAACATGTTGCGTTGAATATGTGATAAAACTCGACAGTGATAAGATTAGAAACAACAGTACTAGAGAGTAGTAAAGATGCTGGAAAATATATTTATGTGGTTTGAGCATGTAGAGTTAAGATTTGTAGTTTTTGTGGTAAGGAGAGTGGATTAGATGGAGAGAAGTCAAACGGTTAGAGGTAGAGGAAGACTTCAAAAATTTTTTTTAAGATAAGTTATTATTATTAAGAAAGATCTCGAGATTAACGATTTGGATAAAACATTATGTCGGAAGTTGATCTAGCCGACTTAACTTAGTGGAATAAAACTTGGTTGTTGTTGTTGTATCAGTCCTAAAACTGCTTACATGTAGGGAATACTTCTCAACAAAATCAACATGAATCCAGCTTTATCCTTTTCGTTGGACAACAGACTGATTGGCAGAGCTACCCCTGTCTCTCATCCTGTGTTAAATTGCAGCCGTAGTGCCGCCATGAGCGTGTTTATATGGAAGATTTTGGCCTTCTTCCATTGGCAACACTGCTCTTATCCCTTAGGGAGAGACAAGGACCTGTCATTGACACAAGAAGTTTGACTAATTTTGTTGTTCTTCATAAGTAATTATTCAGTTTGGATTTCTTTTGCTGGAGTTTTAAAGATTTTGGTTTTTGAAGTTCATATTATAAATGTCTGTTTAATTTGGCCTTTTCATATCATACCGATCTTTCTATGCCTAGTCTTTTCCCCTTCTTCCTTAATCCTTGTTGTTTTCAGCAAAGTATATCCTTATAAGAGTATTTTTCATTTTCTTGCAGTCCAAGAGTGACATTTTGTGGGTACAGCATTCCTCATCCTTCAGAAAATCGTGTTAATGTCAGAGTTCAGACAACTGGTAAGTGGTAACATAAGTTGTGTCGTGGTGGATATAATGTGACTGTAGTTTTCAAATTTGTTCCATTGTCTAATGCCAAAAATCCCATTTTTATACCACAATCACAAGTGTGTAGCTTCCAGTTTCAAATATTGCTAGACAATTTTTTCTATTCTGCCGATCAGTTATTAGCATGAACCTAACCATTTTTATTTTTACAACAAGCAAAACAAAATCAGTTCCCTTATTAGCATGAAATAGAAGCCTAGCTTTTTTAAGCTAGCTAATTCTACCATTCTAGGTTGTCAATAGCGCGCTATAATAGTGTTGCATGGCAGCACGACCCCTCACTGCTACGATATTGGCCTGCGAAGTGCTATCGACAGTGAGGTATCTGAAATGAAATGATCTATTTTGTAAATATAATAATTCATACATTTTATTATGATATTGTTTGATCGATATAATTGAATTCACATAATGAGTGAAGACTTTGATTGAAGTTGTACTATGATTTATATATAACAGTAATTTTGGTTGAATGGGTCGTATCTCTGTATTTGTAGGGGATCCAGCAAGTGAGGTATTAAAAGATGGTTGTCAGGATCTGATGCTTATATGCCAACATGTTAGGAGCACTTTTGAGAAGGCAGTTAATGATTTTAAAACCAGCAAGACTGGAGATGATATGGATATATGAACTACTATGCTGGATATAGTTTTAAATTAGTATTTTTTAAAATATTATTTGAGCATTAAAATATAGACACTGAATGTTGACTGATACCATATTTGTTACCAAAGTTTGATGTTGAAGAATCATGTTCCATTTTGTTTTGTGGTTGTTTTTGCAGTTTCTCCGAGCATTTTCCTGCGCATTATCCTTCACAGCATAGCAAATGCTACAAAACATTGGTCTTGATTGTTGAGTGTAAAGTATTCCTAGAGGACTTATGTTTTAATTTTGTATTTGTCTATGCAGTTACATTTGAATGATAATGAGCAGGGATATGCATCTACCAAACAAATATTTTATAACCAGATTTCAAATTGACTTAAAGGAGTAGAAAGTAGACGTTATTCCTTGAAATTTTAAGATGCTGAGTCTTGGTTTTAATTTTTCATGGAAGGAGGATTACCAAACATGCTTTAACTACTCTTCATATCACAACTTCAATTAGCTAAACCATATGCTATAAGATAAGAATGATAATTAAGTACATTTCATTTTTTTTATATCATGAGAAAGAGATAATTCAATTATTAATTTGTTATTAGTCCCGTTAAAAAAACAAGAATATTAGATAATTAATGTAAAAATAATTTTAAAATAAAGACATTAAATATATCTAGATTTGTGTCAAAATATTTATAAAATTTTTGCTTATAAATTATGTTTCATTCTGCTTCATTTATCATTTGTTAATCTGAATATATAATTTAATTATATATTACTTCATTTCACTAGATGAATCTAAACATACCTCAAAATAGGACAAAGCTATAGAAAATGGTAAGAGGGATAACCTTAATTTCTCTATGATTTATTTTTTATTTATGCATGTATTCACACTCGTTTTTCACCCTTCACTTCAACCATTCTCACACAAACACAATTCCAAAAATTTCAGAGTAATTAACCTTAAGCATCTTCTAATTCAGATTATCCCCCAAAACCAACATGTTAATCTCATTATCACACAAAACCATCACCTTCATAACATTCTTCTTCTTATTGGGCCCAAGCCCAATCCTCTCACGAGACGCACACGTCATCAACTTCCGAACACCCAATCTCTACCCCGAATCCCTCGCGTGGGATCCACGCGCTCAGCATTTCCTCATCGGTTCCATCCGCCAACGCATCATCACCGCCGTCTCCGACGCCGGCGTCGTCGAAACGTTCATCTCCGACATAACTCTCCCCTCCGACGCTTCCTTCCTCGGCATCGCTGTTGATTCCCCTCGCAACCGCCTCCTCGCCGTCGTTCACTCCTACCCTCCCCTTCCTCCTTTCAACGCCCTCGCCGCTTACGACCTCCACTCCCGCCGCCGTATCTTCGTCACTCCACTAACTTCCTCCGATAACAACAACGATGAACCCTCCCCCTGCGCAGCCAACGACGTCGCTGTCGATCACCTCGGTAACGCATTCGTAACAAACTCCGCCGGAAACTTCATCTGGAAAGTCACCGTCAACGGAGAAGCCTCAATCTTCTCGAAATCTCCACTATTCTCCTCGCCAAACTCGCCAACAAACAACAGTCTCCCAGGTCTCAACGGAATCACCTACGTCTCCAAAGGCTACCTTCTCGTAATCCAATCAAACACCGGGAAAGTTTTCAAGGTAGACGAAATCGACGGCACGGCGAGAATTGTATCATTAACCGAGGATCTCATTGGCGCGGACGACATCGTCGTTCGCGGCACGGACGTCGCTATCGCGGTGTCCCCGATGAACAAGTTGTGGTTCATGAAGAGTATGGATAATTGGGAAGTCGGATCGGTGTATGAGAGATTGGAGATTGATGTTCGGCGGTTTCCGACGTCGGTAACGGTCAGAGAAAAGGGGAGATTGTACGTGTTGTATGGACATTTGAATGAAGGGATGTTGGGAGATTCAGGAAGAGAGGGTTTTGGTATTGCTGAAATTAGGTCAAGAGAAGGACAAGATGAACATGTTTGGATTTTTATTTTGATTGGTTTTGGATTGGCTTATTTCTTCTTTTGGAGGTTTCAGATGAGAAATCTTGTCAAGAAGGTGGATTATAAAATCAAATGAATGTTTGTTTGGACAACATCGAAATCGCCGTGGAAAATCGAAACTTCTAAGCCTGTGTTTGTTATAACACGGTGGACCCTTGCCACCGCACGTATAAGGTCATTTTCACTGTGATTTTGAGAAGCTAGAATGTGTAACTTCTATTCCACTAGGATTGTGATGAACGAGAAGCTGGTATGTGTAACTTCTGTTCACCGTTCAGCCGACCACACGATAAATTGTTCTTTGGTTTTGCAGTAACTTATATGAGATTGATTTTGGTTTAGTTTTTGCAGATTGGAATTTTCAGTTTTGACCTATTTCAAGTGTAGATCAATGTTAGTTTAACTAAAGAAAATATTGTATATGTTTCTGATTTTGATTGTGGGAATAATGTTGAAATGCTGTTTAAACAAAATGGTTGAAATATATGCTACATTATGATTTTCCTTCTGATTATGTTTTACAAGGTCAAGTTATTTAAGGTTTAGAGTTTTCGTTATATGTTGCCAATTTTGGTTAAAGCAATGTTCTGTTTCCTTTCAAGTTGTTGTTTAGGGTTTAATGTGACTATGGAAGTTTGTAAGGAAGAGGTAGTTGTGGTGTAAATGTGGTAAACTAATGGCATGGTGAGAAAGCTTATTTGTGTGGGTTGAGGTAATGAAATTTTATTAGTTTATTAGCTAAAAAAAAGTTACATGCACTCATAGCCGTCTCAAACTTTTGAGTAGTCTAAGAAGATGAAGTTTGTTTTAGTGAAAATTTTAAAGAGGCCTTAGTTAAGCATAAATTAGTTGTTGAATATATGTATGAAGATTCTTTTTGTTATAGTTTAAACATGAAAAAGTGTGAGACCTTGTGTTATAGGTCGCGTTGCACACGCTCAAAGACGACCTTGAATTTGCACTCACAATCACATATTATGCGCTAACGCTAATTTTTATTCTTCACTTGAAGCTAATGAGTTTTGTAAATTTTGTTGGTAGGTTTCTAAACTACCAAATACTCTGAATCAATTTCAGCAAAATGAGCTCTGGTTTGGTGTTTGTAAAGTTGCATGTTTAACAAGTGAACATTTATTACTTGGTAACTTGGTTTTGGCCGCTCTAAAATACACTCTTTGTTCAATATGATAAGCAAAACTTCACTTTTTAAGTTCAACAAGTGATGTTTATAATATATAGACAAGATATTATGCATGTTTTTGGTTTTATTATTATGCAAGTTTTCAACTTCAACTCCCATGGTAACATCCTTTAGTTTACAGCCATCTGATGAGCATCACAAGAAGCTTCATTTGAGAATGACATCACTAATGTTGTTGAGATCCTTCTTTGAAACCTCTACATTGGAAAAGTGTGCAATTGTTAACTAATTTTCATTAATACAAATCTGTTTTTTTTTACTTCTTTCATTTTTAAGGATGATTGTTCCGAATTGACCAAAATTATATATATATATATATATATATATATATATATATATATATATATATATATATATATATATATATATATATATATATATATATATTGAGATTAAAGATAATTTATATACAATACTCATACTTCTCAACTCAACACGACGCTTTTTTAAGATCAAAGTCGTAATGGTTCTTACACTCAAAAGCAGACAATTCTTCATTGTCACATTGACACGGAATTGAATTCGACCAGAATATTGATGTTGTCTGCAGGAATCTTGAAGTTTGCTCCCTACCCCTTAATCTCGACTAGAAGGCAAATGTTTTGAACTCAACAAAATAGTCTTATATCGCTTGAGGATTAAAATTAATCTTGAAGTTTGCTCCCTACCCGTTAATCTCAACTAGAAGGCAAATGTTTTGAACCCAACAAAATAGTCTTATATCGCTTGAGGATTAAAATTAAGAGTAGTTTATACACAAACGAATAATATCTCTCAACTGCAATGGCGCGGACTTGAGATCGATTTAAACGATGTTGAGATAGGTGCTCGAATATTGATATCTCATAGTCACATTGGTGCGGAACTTTGTAATAAGTGGTGCAAGTGCGAAACTTTTATTTGTATCTCGTAGCCACAATGACACATTTGAAATCAGCCAGAACAATGTTATTCAATTAATGGAGTATTAGTCATGTATTTCACATTTAGATTTTAGGCTGGAGAACTTGTATTAATTAGTAATCTTTTTGTTTCCTCTTGTTTCTATGCTTGTAGCAGCATATGTTACTTTTCTATTGTGGTTTCTATCCGCATTGCATTGAAATATAGAAGAAATATATGCTTATATTTTCACCATTTTGTTCAAGAAAATGAATTATGTCAACAACTGCAGGTTCATCTTAAGATTCAATCTTTAGTACTGACTAAAGAAACAGTACTTTGTAACATTAACATCACTAGTGATTTACAAACTTAATATATACACTAGTGTGACAACTTAATCTGCAAAACCACATAAAAAAGAACAGAAAACATCAACCAAACCATCAAAACTAAGATCATGCAAAACAATCAATAACGCCTAAACTTAGTATAGAACAAAAAAGCTACTTCTAAAGAAACAGAAGAATGAAAATTTGGCTCAAAAACTATTGAGCTGTGTTAGCATGTGAACAAGTTCATCACTGGAAGGTCTGTCTGCAGGCATATCAGATAAGCATGCAGCAGCAATCCCAACAGCCATTAGCATCTCATCTTCTTCTCCTTGTTCCCCCAAAATACTCTTATCTAGAGCTTCTCGTTCCTCGCCCGCTTGCTTCAAGTGTCGCAGCCAACATCCCAAACTTCCGCCTCTCACCGCTTCTCCAAAGAATGGATCCGTAGGGTCCTTACCAGTTAATAAAACACCTAGTATCATCCCAAAGCCGAATATGTCACTCTTTTCCGTGTACCTGCTGTATTTCCAAAATACACATTTCAATTTCAATACCATCATGGACAATTGATTCAGA